TAGCTGATACCGTGCACTTCGTTACCCGTTAAATGTACAAATTGTATAAGATTCAAACTTTGTTCTGGTGTATGATATTCTAGATTTGTCTGAACTTTTCTGTTGCCAGGAATAAAAATTCTGATTTCGCAGCAGTACATTATCAGGTAGGCAATCTACCTGCGGTAGATCGCGGACCCCGTGCTCGTGCTGTTTGTACATAATTGTATGATTTAACTCTAAAGTATCAAAGTTATACCAAGTTTGTCGTTTTTACTTAATTCCACCTACGGTGGATTAATATAATCAATTAATACAAAATCATAACCTGACCTAACCGTACTAAAATCCGATGAATAAAAAAAACCAAATTTAACCCTTTTTAAATTAGCCCATCTTCTTCCCAGAGGTCTAATCTACACACAAACATTAATTTATTGGTATACAGGGGGATTCAAAATGTATGTTACAATAATATACTATTACTATACCTATTATTGTAATATACATTTTGAATCACTCTGTATATATATATATTAACAAAAAATAATAATACAAATCAACAAACATTCCCGATTAACCAATAGCAACCAATATATAATACACTATTTTTATTTTAGTAATAATATTATTTTTATTTTAGTAATAATATTATTTTTATTTTTTTCTGGACAACCCTTATCACTTAGGGGTATAAAAAATAGATAGTAGCCGATTCTCAGACCTACTGAATATGCATATAAAATTTCAAAAAAATAGGTCAAGCCGTTTCGGAGGAGTATGGTAACTAACATTGTGACACGAGAATTTTATATATTAGAATTTAGATTACTTATTATTTGTACGGTAGTCAGACAGCTGGTAATTTGAATTAATATTATAAAATTACAAAACAATAAATAAAGTCGTTATTCTTGGTAATTTAATATGTGATTTCGTAGAAATTTCAACTTAAAATAACTATAAAAAGAACTGTGTTTATATGTATTTTTGCAAGACGATATTTGTCGTTATTTGTCTTATTTGTCGTATTTGTCTATACAAATTTATCATATATGGCGTCAAAATTATTTTTTTCTCCATCGGAGGATAAAATTCTTGTTCAAGAAGTACAGGCCAATAATTCTATTTTGTGTGATTTGGCCGATGCTAATTATAACAAAAACATGATAACGAAGGATAGTATCTGTAAGGCAATATCCCTCGAGATTATGATCGCTTCGGTCGGTGTTTTACGCATAATATGTCATTTACACTATTTTACGTGTTTGCGTGTGTGTGCGCGCAAACGCATCTCGCATGTATTAACTTAGGCGGCGGCGACTAACGCCAATCCCGTGCCCCTAGCAATGGCGGCCCAGAGCACAGTATTAAAAACGACGACGGCTATTATGACTTATAACGACGTTACATTGATGCTCACCCGTCTCGCGTTTCGTGCAAGTTCTCTACAAAAAACAATTAATACCTACTCCTAAATGTTGTTTATCTATAATATAATGCATCCAATATAATATATATTAGTATATTGTATATTATATTAAATATTTTAAATTAAAAGTAAACGAATAAAATTCAAAATAGTATCAATATAAAGTAAGCAAATATTTATTTTGTGAGATTACAATTGAGGTGGTGCCTCGCCCCCATAGAGTATATAGAGGCGCCCTAATTGAAATAATATGAAGCGGAAATGGAAACAAAACAGTGTAGGCAAACTATAGAAAATATTTTATTGTATATGAACAATAATACAATATTTATTGTAATTTAATTATATTACTCATTATTATTACTCAATTATATCATATTGTTCTATGGTTATATTAACCTTTATTTATAACTATCAATATAATATTAATTATTATAATATTACCAGTGGTATATTGGTACGGGTACGCGGGTATACGCCGTATACCCATCAGAAGATTTTCGATTTTCGGCATATACCCAATGTAAAATCTTATTTTACGGGTATACGTTTCCAAAATAACCAGAAAACCAAATAAGATTTAAAATGTATTTAATAGTTCATATAGGAAAAAAACGTTATTCGTTATTATGTATTAATGAATTATTTATCAATTGAAGTAGGTATTGAATATAAGTTATATAACAATATGCGTTGTGTTTAATGTATTTTAAGGGTTTAAGTTCAATTTAGTAAACCCAATATTGAATACAAAAAAATCTTTGGGGAAAATTTTATAGATTGTCTGATTGTACCTATAATAATAATGTTATTATTATTTTAATTTTTTTGACATTCGAGTTGATTTTGTTTTATTTTCTTTTGTTACATTATAAAAAAATTAATAAAATAATTTTAAAAAATATGTACTTATTGAACTGCAATAACGTTATATAATATATACGATGATATAATTTGATCGTTTAGGTTACATAATATTTTATTGGTGGGTATACCCATAAATATATTTACCAGTACACCACTGAATATTACTGAACTGAACTTGATTTGCACAAATACGTAAATACTATTATAATATGTTATGGGAAGGTAGTAATTTTTGGTGAGGAAATTATCAGTACTATCAATACTTAAATTATTGTATCACACCAGCATCTTAGGTTTGTTCTTAAAATAGTTTCTGAGTAGAAAGTATTATAACATATTCAAAATATTAAATTGGTGGGATTTACGAAAAGTTGAAAATAAGCGCTATCTATCAGTTGCGTTGTTAGTTATTGGAAACCAAATCCGACATGTTTTGCTTCACATAATTCATAATACTTATTCTGATAGGGCATCTCTATATACTCTATGCTCGCCCCCAAAAACCGCCACTGATAAACATGCGCACTCTACTTATAACGTGAAAGGTATCATCGAAATGCCCGAGTCGAATACAATCCTACGCCGCGCCGAGGCGCCATCTGTATCGCCGGTGGCCGAACGAGTGTGCATTGTGCGGTAGTGTAGTATTGTTAGTGGATCTAGGGTCAGTTGATTTAGCACAGTTGTCGAGTACACTCGTGCCGTTCAGTTATATTTTGAATTTCAACGTTTTTACCGTGATTCTTCAAGGGTACTTCAAATCACCGTTGCCAACCTCCGAGTGCTGTAGTTGTACGATTGCTGTTTGTGACTTCCGACTGCACCGAGTATGTTATAAATTATAAATTATAATCATAGATATTAGATAGTAGTATACATTATGTACCGAGGGAAGTTAGGGAACTATAGATACTATAGTAGATATTATTATATGTAGAGCCTTAGGGAAATGACCAGCCGGCATCATAATAATATGATAGTACAGTAGTCACTCGATAATTCGAAAAACTCCTTAAATCAAACTAAACGCTGAGTCCCCTGAGAAAACCTCTATAATTAAAAGAAAATACATGCATATATTCTGATGATTCGAAATGTCTGTCGGAGGGACACACTCTACAATTCGAATTTTTTTTTCCACAAACCTCTATAATTCGAATTTCCTTAAACGCGATTATATTATGTAAGTTCATATGTATAAAGATTATATTTACACATAAAGATTATGAACAATCTATTTGTCGTACTCGTAATGAAACTAATAACGACGGTGGTTAAATATTATCGTAGCTTATAAATGTTATCGTACCTTACCTACCTAATCTAAACTTCAATCGTATTATTTTAACAAAATAAACCTCTGCAATGGGTAAACCGTTGTTGACATCGAATAAAAGATAGTCTATCGTTATATGGGTCCCAAAGTAAATGTAATATATTATACATACAATTTTCACCTCTCTTTAGTTCGAATTAATTTGTTTTCCCTCGATTATTCGAACACTCGGTGATAATAGACAAGTGGACATGTATGTAACTTATATGATGTTTATGAGTATGTGTGTGGGTGTGACATGTGTGTTAGTTATGTTCATACTCTGAGATTTATAACGTTATAATGGAGGCACAGACTTTCTATGTTCTCGTATAATACGAAAACGCGCGGTTTCGAATGCCGCTTCCCCCTCCCATTAAAGGTAAAATATTAAATATATTTTGTAACATTGATATTACATGATTATATGATTTAGATTATAGTTTCTGAGATAAACGATCGTACTATCACGTTTAAATTGGTGCCAAAATAATTGTCTCGATGTGAATCGATATATTATTAATTGTATATTAGTTCAAAGTTACTCTTAAAAAATGATGCCTGATTTCCGGAATTTAAAATTTAAATAAATTATTAATATATACATCATGATAAAAAAAATTTCTATCTCCTCCCCAATACCGGTGTTGGAAGCCTATAACTCAAATCACTTACGGACAATATGTTGATTATTTTTATTTATAAATTATCCATAACCTCTTCTCTCAGAATTTGACATTATTAAAATAATCCTTCCCCTTTTTAACAGTTTACCTTACGAACCTATTTCATAGGAATTTATAGTTTATAGTTATTAATTTAATATCAATGACTGTGTAAAAACTGATACTGTGTATTTCCAAGTAAAAAAAAATTCACAAGTTGTGTTATCAAAAAGGGGTTTAGTTATGTTATAAATTCATTAGTATAGAAGTATTTATAATTGTTTGTAATTGATGGAGTATTTATGCATGGCTCCAGAGGGCTATACAACTAATTATTCAATGTCTCCAAGTCGACACCAATATGCCGATATACACCACGTTGTATATTTTAATAGTATTACCATAAGTATACCTTTTTAAATACATCATACTAGGAGCTAAGATAAATACATTTTTTTAAACCCACTTCAAAACAAACAATTATAAAGACTTCTTTTATAGGTATCTACTAATGAATTTATAAAATTCTACTAAGTTGTGTATGGGCTCGAGAGCGGCATTTCTATCAATCTCTATTATTATTTATTAATTACGCTTAATGGCTAACGATGGCCACCTTGTTCATGTAGTTTCATGTAGTAAATACATTAATACATATTAATATGCTACGTACCTACATACGTGTATTACAATCAATAAACAAATAATTTTTTAATTACAGTAAGTATCTGGAACTTTCGTGATGGCGCCCCCCCAAAAGAAGCTCAAGATCTCCGCAGATCCCCAAGAACTTTGGGAATTGAACTTATGCGTGGCTTGCAAAAATCGTTTGAACGCTACTTCGAAGATATTGAAATGTCTTCATGGCATGTGCCAACGATGTTTTAAATTGAATTCTAAAGTTCCAGGTGAGGTGTTTTTAATATTCTGCTTATCTAAATAATATAGTTTTAATCATCAAAGACGAAATAATATTGGTCTGCAAATATGATATTATGTGTAAAATTTGGTAAACAATATTAATATGTAATCACAATAATTTTAATTCATGTAGCATTAATTTCCATGCTGACGAAGCGGAATAAAGAGTGAAAATCAATGATTAAAAAAACATAGGCATAATTATTTTTTATATGCATTTAAAATTAAATGTTGACAAAATTCATCAAAATTCCGAAAATATGCAAATTATTTTTCAGTTAGAAAAAAGTAAATATTTACTTTTAATAACTAACATTTGAAAATTTAATAGAAGATTCCTCATAAGTTTTCTTACTTTAAACAAAAAAAGTTTACCAAAAAGTAACGATTTAGCCATGAAATATTTTCGACTTCTGTACATTTTTTTTTAAATATTAAATAAGATTATATTTTATAAAAGTATGCTAGGTTGACAGCACACTGCACACACTATCTCTAATCAGAATCATTTTTTGTGTTCAATAATTTATCATTGTATTCAAATTTAACATATCCATTTTAGATTCTGAGCGGAAATGTAGGAGTGAAGCCGCATGATTGATTTAAAAATTTATATTTATTTAAAATTTATTTTTGTGTCTATCATCACCTTTTGGAAATGCTTCGATTCTACACTTCAGTATCTTGTTTGATGGGAAACTGAATATAGTTGATGCGCTGGGAAGGCCAAAATTTAAAATTCTCAGTAGTTTTTAAAAGCGCTGGGAAAAACAAAAAAAATTAAGGAAAAACGGGAATTTTTATGCAAAATTGGTTTTTATCAAAATCGATTTTGGTGTTTGGTGTATTTCTAAAACGATTTACCGTAGATTAATTTACTAAATATTTATATTAGCATTTGATATACACGATAACATTTTCAAAATATTTGACTCATTTTGAGCTGTTTACGGACATTTTCAATTTTCAATTTTTTAGATTCTGAGCGGAGCAAGGAAGCTAGTGGTTTTACAATGGTGTTTATTTTTTTTTTTTATATCCTGTATACAAAATTTCTACCAGAAGGAGTGCTTTGATTTCAACATATAGTACCTTACCTTTTAGCAAATTGGACCAAGATGGTACTTTAGAGAGGTCATTTTTCGATTTTCTCAATAGTTATTTAATGCCACGGGAAAAAGTACTGAAAAATTACGAAAAACCGCTTAAAATGGGATTTTAATTTCTAACAATTTGTTTATCACCGTAGCAACGAATAAAAAAAATAATAATTAAATAAATAAAATAATTAATGACAATATAAAATATACAGACTGACAAACCGTCTCCGTTCAGAATCGTTTTTCTTATACAATGATATTATATCATTGAATAATTCAAATTTAATACCATCCATTACAGTGATCACTTGTAACCTATACTGTAGAGCAGAGCGACAACCACTTGCCCACTTTTTTTTTATTTACTTCAATACACAACTATTATAGAGCATATCCATTATAATGACATAGGTAGGTACTTGACATTCGGCATCCAACTTTTTGTTAGTTTGGGTGTAATATTTTTTTATATTTTAATAACATTTATTCTATATAATTAAAGTATTCTATATTTTAAGTATCTATATAAAATCCAAATACCACTCATTCATTGCTATTTCTTAACAACTACAAAACGTACGAACCTGAAATTTGGAATAGTGGTTCCTCTAATACTCTAAATATGTATTGAGAAAAGATTTTCCGATTACGCATTTTAAAGGAGTGGTAAAACAAGGCTATTGTGATCCACGGTGGAAAATGATTTTTTTATTTTTTTTTACAAATGGTATCTATTGTTTCCAGATTATAATAGTAAAAGTAGAAATTAGCATTATTTTTTTTTGCGTATAAATGGTTGCCATACATTTATGTTACTCTGGTAGATCAGATAGGTACAAGTATGCATCAAATTGTCGCATGTATGGCCTTGAATAAAAAAACTATATCTTAAAAACAAATATACATTTGTATATAACTAATTTATTTAAAAACAACTCAATTGAATTTGACGAAAATCTCAAAAAAAATTTTTTGAGATGTCAGAGAAGCTTAGAGAGTAAGTAGTTTAAGCCACGTTAAAAATTTACCATGTGCTAAATCCAATCCGTGACTTGTGGTTGCCCACCTAGGTCGATTTATTTCACGAAGCTAGGTACACTGATGCCTATTTTTCGGTGAACACTCAAACCGAGATACAGCCAGTATAGGTACAGCATACATAGGCTACTAATAGGAAGTACCTACCACAAAAAACTGCACTTGGTCGAAGCCTGGATATTCAGTAGTTCTATATATACCTACACCTACTTATTATCGATAATAAGTTTATATGTTATAAAATAATAGTTATTAAGTTTATAATTCTATATAAAACTTATTTATGTTTATATAGATTACTTTGAAATTAAATTAAATAATTCAGTTTGCATGTAAACTATTAAAAACATAATTTTAGGGGAATGAGGAATAGGTTAATTTCACATACAAACTTTTTTTTTACAAATTATAATTATTATTTGTTGAATGAATAAGGATACCAAAGGGCAAATACTGAATGAATAATATAATAGACGTAATTATTTATATGAATAAAAAGCTATAACACATATTCAGAGTATGTATAAGATATATTATAATACTTCGATGCAATTATAATTGTATTCGAGTAAAAAAAAGTATTGTAATGCTTCTATTTGATTTATTTTAAACGCTGCTACATATGTTTGTTTATCATAATGTTTTTATTTTTTATCTAGGTCATTGTGTATGCAAATGTGGAAAGGAAACTGGTCTTTCAACTGGATTCATTAATTATTCTATTTATTGTGAAAAGTTTGATGAAGTAATCACAAGTTTTGTAATATTACCTTTATATCAGCTTTTATCGTATACTCAGTGTATGGGAGCAATTTGATTGAAAACTATGGTTTGTGGTAGAGAGGGTAACTTATTTTACCTATACTTAAGTAGGTAAAGTTGTAACACACGTTATTAACTAAGTTCGATGATTAAATATTTATTGAAATCTCTTCAGTATCTCTTGGCGAGGCCATACACCATACACAATTAAGTCGAAACCCTCTTCCACTCATAAATTGCGCTTGTATAAAATATTATCTAAATATTTTATAAATAATTATTTTATTTTAATTTTTCATTTGTATGTTGATTTAGAGTACTTTAAGAAATAATTATATGAACCAGGAATACCAAAAAAAAGATGATGAGCCATACAGGACGAAAGCCCCGTGTCCAAATTGCGTTGATGTAAGTACGCATGTACCTATATATAATATACATACCTATATATATGAATCAAGAATAAATTAAAATATATCTTTGTTTTTAATAAAATACTAATCAACCACTATTATCTTTGACGCAAATGTCTAAATCAAAATATGTAACAGTTTTTTTTAATTTTATAAAAATTCATTAATTGTACAAAAAACTAATTAAATTTTCAAAAATGTTACAGTAAAAAATATCTATTATAATTTAATTGAAAATATGTTAAAAATTTTTCACGTTGAATGTACTTATTGTACTTATACAAATTTGTGTTTATTTTAAACAATTTAAAACTTAATCCTATAGTGAATCTTAACATTGTCACATAATTCAGTTTTGTAATTTACATTACAGAAATACATTGAGCTATATTGTATTACATGCAAAACATTTCATTGTGCACTATGCCAATTAATGGATCACAGAAGCCACGAATTTAAAAACATAGACGCAGTTATGGAGGAGATCCGGTCAAATTTATGTAAAAATAAAGTTGACTTATGGTATGGTTAAAATGTTTATAATTTCAATATATTTAATTTTTTTTAATTGATTCTAAAAAAAACTCTATTGTTTAATTTCATAAGGATAATATATATATTTTTTAAACAGTGAAAAATCCAATTTTGTTAGTAAAGCAAAATTACATTTATTGGAAGATGTAACCAAAATAAACATGCATAAGATTGGAATAAAAAAAAAAATACACAAACAATTTGAGGAGTAAGTATTACCTAATTCAGTAAAATTTAAAAGTGCTACAATTTATATATATTATTTAAGTATAAAATTTCAAATTTGACATATGATCATTTACATTTAGATCACACATCTACATTATATAAGTACTCGAGTAGACACATCACATACCTAACGTATATTATCACAAAATATTAAAAAACTTTTGCCTATTTTAGCTCTAAGCCATTTTGAATTTTAACGACGTCATATGTTTTGCGCAAATTAAGATTTATATTCTGCACTTAATAAGCCATAAGGGTCACTTACCAATAAATGATTTAATACAATATAGGTATTCCCTAAAAACTATAGTTGATTTTCCTCAAATCCATAGTACCTACCTCAGAATAATTCCTAACAATCATGATAATAATAATAATAATAAAGTCTAATTATTGTCGTTACTCTTTACCTATATGGCTATATCGATTACCTATTGAATATTATTACATGTCATTATTCATTATACTCTGTTCAGCAAGAGAGCTCGACGATTTTGTGCAACCCTCCGCGTCACTTGCTATCGAAACTGGTACACAGCCGAGTCTAAAATCACCCATTTCGTAAAATTCTTACAATTGAATGTTTTATTTCATTGACTTGTATTATCATTTCACATTTACACGCAGTACCTATATCAAGACAAATGTTATATTATATTAACATATTAGTATATTGCAAGCACGACAGCATGTACCATGTACAAAATACATGAGCTTGTTGTACAATAACATATATTATATTAATATTAATAATAATTAATAACTTATTATTATAATATAATTATAATATTATGTATCATGACTCAATTTTCGTGTCATGAGTGTTTAAATTCTAAATAACAAAATAATATTATATGCTTTACAGGATTCGAGCTGAATTGTGGAGGAGCGAAAAAAGAATGCATAATTATGTGGAACTGTATTACAAGGAAAACATTGAAAAGTCGACTAAAACATGCTTGAAATTAGACAGATTAAAAAAAAAATGCAATTTTTATCTTAATTTTGCTGAGTCTGTTTTAAATAAACAGAAAAATGCTGACCTAGATATCACACAGTACGTCACATATATTGTCATTTAAATATTATATTATAATATTCTAGGTAGTAATCTTGGTACACAAGTTAAAGGAATTCAATCACGCCTGTGATTTCTACAAAAATAGACCCATCTTATGCAAATTGTTCCAACTGTTGTACTAGTTATTCGATAAAAATTGTGAGAACATATTTAAATTCATCATGAAGTTAACTAAAAAATAAAAATTACTTTTTCACTTTATTGTAATTTACCTCTTAAACACTTTAAAATTGAATTTTAAAATATCGATAATATTGATTTAAACTAATTAATTAACACATGTAACATGTAAGAATAAGTAAATTTCAAATAAGCTTCTTGACTATGATTAAAATATGTTTTCAAAAATTTTATTTGATTATTAGGTTAGTTATATACAATTGGCATTATAATATTATTTTAATATTATCAACCATTATTGATATTTTTAGACCAAAAAAAAAACAAAATAATTAATATTTTTGTAGTTTGATCACTTACGCACGGAATTAGAAAATTATTAAAAATGTCCTTCCTTAAAAAAAGTGGGTATCGAAAAGATGGACAAATTAGAAGACGTAAATTTGAATCTGTAAGAAATAAAATATCCACGTTTGATATAACTTATAAACAAATTTCCAACACCAATCAGGAGTAATTTATTACAATTTTTTATCGAATCATCATATTTTATAGTTATCACAAAAATGGAAAATAATTTTTCTTGCGATGTAGCTTACTTCGTTTTTTTCGACCCAATATGAATAATTGTAAATATAATATAATATGTACCGGTTTAAAATATTACCTAGCCGATTCGTTCGTAATAATCAAACAATAACAAGGATTTTTATTTTGTCGAATTTGAACTTTTTTTTTTTTCGTTACATTAGGTGTTTAGGTATGTGTAATCATCGTTATAAAACGCACTACCCAGACTGCAACATTTTCCATGTGTAATATGTTACGATTTGGTGAGTAGTATACATTTGTATGTTCACAGTAAATTCGTTTTTTTCACCGTGGTACCTAATGACACCACCATGTTCAAGGGGGATATCCAGCACACCGATTGATGACACCGATTTCACCGTATTACATGTCATGAGAAAATTACACAGTCGCTGTCCACCTATTTGTGGCTCACCGAAAAATATTTACCTTATTTAATTTTACAGGGAAATATCAACATTTTTGTTAACGAATTCGTCACTTACACACATATTCTGCAATACGCTTATATATGAATTAATAAACAATAAGCAGTTACACCTGTAAACAATATTCTGATGCTTCAATTTCCAATTCAACATCCACTGCCGAGGCTTTAGCTGAATCGTTCTGTTTCGAAGTATCGATTTTTGATAACTATATAATAGTATAATATTGGAGTGTTCGATAAAAAAGTAGGACTCAATATCGGGTTCCAAATATTATTTTCATAGTATGGTTCTTAAAACATATATAAACATATCATTTAATAAAGCCAAATAATTTTTTACAAAATCTAAATTCAAACTACCATACGGATAGGTTTTAGAGTATTAAATACTTAAACGTTAGTTAAATTCCAATGATCAAATAATAAAATATAGTATATACTATAATATTTTACCTACTAACTTTTTACTTCCTTTTTATAAACCAATTATGATAAATCATAGTGTTAGACAAAAAATAATAATATGATTGTATTCCCAGTTAAACTTAAAGTAATAACTAATAATATACTCGTACAATACAATATCTAAAATATAAATTTAATATTGAGTTCCGTGACGTTTAATATGCGGAAGCGGAACGACTGTTAATGTCTCGTTGAAGTCATCAACCGGATTATTGTTTTAATTTGCTAATATTGAATAGTTATTAGATTAATATCGGTTTTGTTCGATCTGTAATATATAAGGTTTAACGGACTACGGAGATTGAATAACTTTTGTTCCTGATCTCCCACTAGGGAAAAACTCATAAATCGAATGACTTTGACGATGGTTGCTGAATGACCAATATTATGTGCTATATTACGTGTTACTTTTATAGAATTAACTGTGTTTAAATGCGTAGCTTTTTCAAACCAATAGGTTTCATCACTTTCATACAATATTGGTCCATAGGTTCGTTTTTCAAGCCCAAAAACAGCGGACAAAAACTGTGTAGGTAATCTCCCAACGATGTGTAATACGATAATCCTTTAAGGACATTCCAGCTTGGACATGGCGTAATATTACTGCGGTGAATAAACTGTAAATATACAAATTATGTATACTATTTTGGTGATTTTAATATCAATATTACATTAATTTAACAGGTTGATTCGCATGAAAATAAATGTTATTTACATGATTTCGTAATTATATATTATAAGCAATAATGTTATACAAACGAGTGGTCAAATATAAATTATTTTGTTTATTAATGTATTTAATTATATTTAGAGTGTTACATTTTAATTTTTCACAAGTAATCGATACCTAGCAGTATATTAGCACTTTTACCAAGACAATTTGGCAGCTATACGATCCGTTCTCTTGGCTTATAATAATAACTTACGTATTTTACGGGTTTATAATACACATACAATTTATTACAGTTTCGTAAACAAACAACTGGAGAATTTGAGAATAGATTTTACAGATGACATAAGTAAATTGGATTCAACTAATCCAACTATTAATTTAAAAGCCAAGTTAGACAATACACTGCATGAGTTAAACAAATGTGAGTATAATAATATATTATATTAATTATATCTATCCGTTTGTCAAAAACGAATGGACTAATGCTATCAGTGTGAATCAGTTGATAATGCTTAGTTTATAATATTGTATGTTTTGTAGCCGTTTCAAAAATTATAATTTATAATCCACACTATGGAGAAGGAATTAATGAAATTATCAAGACCATGAGTATTACATCGTGTCCGGGATACCTCAAGGCCACTATAGTAAGCTTTAAAACTGTACAAGTACAAAATACTACAAATACCTAATCGTATCAAACTTGACACTTCTGGGGTTCCACTAAATCGTATGGATGTGAATAATTAAGCGTTTAGCAGGTTAGGTTAGGTTAGGTTTTTTTTTAAAAATAAAACCTATATATTACTATAGGTTGGGCATAACAAATTCTGTGATAGTATTATAGGTAGGTACCATCAGCCATCAGGCATATCTGTTCATTCTTGGAAAAGGTACAATATAGGTGTACAATATAGGTATTCAGATAATATTATTATGTAAAATAATATTATTTTTATTTATTAATTTTCATTTATTACAAATTATTACAAGTTAAGTACACTGAATGCTATTACAATTGTTTGTACAATTTTATTAGTGTTATTAATAATTTTATAATATAAGTAATATTTTGATGATTACGATAAAATGGCATTGCTAATGAGTAAAATAATTCTTGATTATATTGTACAACAAATATTAATTTCAATCATTTCAATACAACTCAATAGTTATTAAAGTATATTGTTATAATATAGATGATGTTCAAATGGGGGGGGGGACTTAGTCCCTAAAAAATGATTATTGGATACTATATCCACTATTCACAGTATGATATACTTAATTCAATAAACCGCCAAGATCTAAAATCACAACACATTTTTCTTTTTAGATTTAATTAATAGTTTAAATAATTTGTTTCAAACTTTCAAAGTATATATTATAATTTATAATGCTCAATTGTAACTTACCAGCCTAGTTGTATGCCTGGTATACTTGAAAGTGACCTTGTTAATGAGGTATATATATTAGTTTCTTGTATTGGAAATAATATTTGTCTAAAATTTAAATAAATAAATAAAATGAATCAGTTTTCTTCATCAGCTTTGGTTTCCAACCATCGGCAGAAAAAACATGTTCATTTTAGCAAAATGAGAGCTAACCCTGTCCAGCGAGAGAATTTGAATAATTATGAACCAAATTTAATTAATTATTGTTAGACAATAATAACAATGATATATATATTTTTTTATTAATTAACCCTCGGCAACTTATTCCATTGGGTGGTTTTTTAACTGTGGGAGAGGGTACTGAAGGTTTAAACACGTGTGTTTGTTTAGTTTGACAGAATTTTCGTAGGTATCTGCTATGCGACCTCTATCTCCAGACACCGTGACGGTGTGACTGCCCGAAGAGAAGTGCCGCCAGTGGCCGGGTTTCGAACCAGCAACGGTGCGCTTCGCCACCGACTCCTTAGTCCGCTTGGCCACTCCGTCCCCCAATGATATTACAGAACTATAACATTAGTGAAAAAATTATTATTAATAATTGATTAGGCGTAGCGTATTAATATTTGAAAAAAAAAAACAAAATAAATAATAATAATAATTTTACAAACATTTCGACTTAAATATATTAACTAGGTAATGGTAAATGATAATGAACTAATTTAAAAAAAATTCTTTTCTTATGTTTAAAGTTAACAAATTAGGAATTTTTTCTTGTGCCGATTTTAAAATATACTTTTTATTCCTTGTACCTATTTTAAAATACACAAAATTAACTGAAGACTCCGAGTGACTTTTTCATCAAAGATTTTTTATTCGGAATATTTACTGAATTTTCTTTCCGATTACCTACCTATATGAAATGCTATTTTTATTTTTCAGAGAGGTAAAACCACCCAGTCAACTTTAGTTGACGACAAAGCAGTAAAGAAAATAACCGATTATAATTGCGCACGACAGGAGAGGAGAAGTTTACAATTTTTACATGCAGGTACTAATAACACGATTCAGGAGATTCAGCAGCTTCAGAACCATTATTTGCGAAACCGGCCAGAGAACTGTGAGTATAGATTATACCTAGATATATTTACTGACGGGTTACACTTTGGCGAATTAGTAAAAAAGTCAATGCGTTCGGGAAGTTTAGCATATCGCGTTTGAGTGAATGATTTTTGGAACAAATGCATTTTACCAATCCTCTCACGGTTTTATATTTTTTTTTTCAAACGACTTGTTTTTTATGCTTAAAACGATTGTGTACATTTTATTTAACGGAAATTATTGTTTTAGAAGTTACAGACTTCCAAAGTTTGAGATTTTACGTTTATGTCGCAACGCTACTTAAGGGGCCTAGGCGCCACGCTACGGTCATTATTTAAGGGGAAACATTTAGGCAATTTCTAATCTTGTCATAGTCACCCGGGATGTATGTTGTAGTTGTAAATGATTATTAGTGTGAGGGAAATTAAATGAGGGTATCCTCTCTCGTACGCGCATGCAACATGTCAATAACTCAATAACCATTTAATTTTCACTAGATACACGAATTTTACAAAAACATACATTGGTTTTGACAAAATTTAAGTTAGTTAACGTTGTCTGGTTTTGATTCTGAAAAAATATTTAAATCCAGCAAAAAAATATCTGTAGAGAGTATGATACATTTTCCGTTTTTAATATTAATTTTAATTTTAATCGGGATTTTAATTATGATTCGAAAAAGTTCATATTTTCAAGTTTTCAATTACAGTTCACAATAATATTATAAAATTTAGTTTTTACAAAGTGCTTAGTAGGATCTAAAGACAATTTTCTAGTGAGTTCAATTTTTTTTTCAGAATCAAAATCGGACAACGTTCACTAACTTTAATTTTGTCAATACAGGTCTTTTCAGCTAAAATTGACGGCGAAAATGAACTGCGAATATAACAAATTTTAATTTTTTTTTTACGTAATTGTCGGACATAGTCATTTTTTGGGTGAAAAAAATGTTGGTGAAATCAGAATTTGGAGCACAAATTTAGTTTTGAAGCTAATCAAAGTTTTCAGTTTATATTATTATAACCCATAAGTAATCATTATGATACATTTTTCATTGGTTGAACTGAAATATGAATGTACGTGTTCACGTATACCGTGATCACGTGAATGAAACAAATTAAATCACGTATGGTTAATACACGTGAATCAACGAAAGCTTAATCACGTGAACACGTATCTGAATCATATTCACGTGAACACGCGAATTAGTTTATTCACGTGAAGAGGCGAACAAATGTATTTATAATTTTATTGATTAGCTTCATGATCTTGTATTGAACTCTGTAGTGCCCGTTGCGTGTGTCTTATCTTATCTGGTCATTGAATAGGTAGTGGTGTTTCAGGAAATTTTTTTGTGCACGATGTCCGGTTGCAAAAATAGAATTCACACATACCCTGATAGCATATTTCTTATTGGACGTTAAAATTATATACATAACTACGACTTTATTGTCGTTGATAAAAAGATACTAAGGTAGTATACAAGTATACGACGCGTTTAGTTTGCATTCAACCGTTAAGTGATCGCATTCATTAAAAACCAAGTTTTCTTGACAAAATGGCGAAAAGAAAAAGTTGGGTATGGGATTATGCTAAACGTGAAGGTGATCGCGCCTTTTGCGATTTATGTGATGATAAAAGCAATAATGAATATTCTTGTGTAGGCGGCACTACTGGGTCTTTAATAAGGCATTTACAAAATTTCCATGGTATTAAACCTTCAGAAGATTCTATAAGAAAGAGGTAATTAATAAATTATATTTTTAATTATTTATTAATTAAAAAGTTAGGTAGAAAGTTAAAAATGTTTACGAAATATGTTAAAATCGCGAAAATTTGTATTTATTTTGTAGCTCAAAATTCATAAATTTGTTTGTATTCATACCTAAGAATTTAAAATTTAATTTAGGTTATCCATAAGTTGTGCTCACAATTATTATGAAAAAATCGAGTGTAAGTCAATAAAAAAAAAATTACGAGCGTCTACTAAATTTTAAACGTTTACGATACTAAAAATTTAAAAATTCACGATTTTCTATCTAAAGGTTTTAGTTATAACTTATAACTTATAAGATAAATAAATAAAATATCCGAGACTGACAAATCGTCTCCGTTCAGAATCGTTTTTCGTATCATTGCATTCAAATTTAACACATCCATTATAGTGACTTACTCTATGACCGAGGTCGACTCACCCAAAAAAAAATTTTAACTCTTAAAAAAAATTATTATTTTATTGTTTGACTAGGATGCAAGTAATTTATTAATAAATATATAATATTCAATAAATACATATTGTAGGTCTCAATTGGGGTCTAATCATCCATATAATGATACCCAAGAAGTTATAAGGTCTGGTAGTTCTGAACATGAAAATAATACAACTTCCATCAATCAAGATGATGACACAAATCTAGTTAATAATGCTAATACATCTTCCTCAAGATTAGAAAATAATGAGGAATCAAAATCTAGAAAGCGTCGTCGTATTTCTAAAAAATGTGGGTCTAATAGTGATCGTGAATGTAATTATGAAAAAACAGAACAAATTCATCAAGCACTGGCTATATTAATTGCAATGAATCAGTTACCTTTATCATTTTGCTCGAGCCCTGGATTTTGTCAGTTCATGGCTGTTGTGGAGCCGAATTATAAAATATGTAGAGATCAAGCAATGAAAAAAAGACTACATGCATTGAAGTCAAACGTTGAGGACAAAATAAAAAATGAATTGCAAAATGTGAAAAGTGTAGTTTGCACCACTGACGGTTGGTCTTCAATAGCTCAAAACTCGTATATATCGTTAACTGCTCACATAATCGATAACCAATGGTCACCAAAGTCATTTACTTTAGCCACACAAGAAATGACAGAACGTCACACAGCAGTAAATCTAGCCGAAAATTTAACTTGTATTTTTGAAAATTGGGAAATTAATGGTAAAGTCAGTACTGTAATTACAGATAACGCAAAAAACATAGTAAATGCTGTAAAATTACTAAATATTACAATAGACAATGAAAATATGGATGTGACATGTGCAGCTCACAGTTTACAATTAGCCATTAATGTTGCAATAAAACAAGAAATATTTTCAGATATAATAAAACAGTGTAGTGCTGTAGTTGGACATTTCAAACACTCGAATGTAGCCAAACAGTCATTATTCAACAAACAAGAACAGCTAGGACTTCTGCATCAAT